GTCTGGTCCAGACCTGGCCGATAATGGCGCGGGATCTAGCCCGATATGGCGTTTTCGGCCATCATATGGCAAAAAACGGCCATATCGAAGCTCCCGGAGCCTCCCACAGAATTTCCAGTGTTTTAGGGGGGCTCCGGTGATTTTTCGGCGGTTGTTCGCGGTGGCGACAGGCGGGCGGCAGGAGGTGGGGGTGATTTCGTCATGAATTAAAGTTTTTTTATAAGCGGGGGTGTTTTAGCTAAATCTGAAATATTGGGGGTTAAAAAATTATTCAAAAATTAATAATAAAAATAATATTATATTAATATTTAAAAGAGGGTCAATTTAGTAATTTAAATAACATACCAACCAATTTATTCCCATAACCAAACATATTAATATAACATACCCACTAACTAACCAAACATATTTTCTTAAAGATTCCCAGTAATCTTCCAAGGTAATCTATCTTTCCAATAATCCAATATTCCCAGTAATCTAACATTCCTGAACCAAACGCCCCCTAAAAGGTATTTAAGATTTCACTATCATATAGAATAATATATATATTTTTTAAATATAAAACTTGAGATCCTCATAATGTGAAATTTTACTCCAAATAATAATTGAATTTTGTTTTGCTAACTGTCAAGATTCAATGAACTAACATGTCTTCTTGTACTTATTTCACTATTACAGATCAGACCATCTTTAAAAAATATATAAAACATTAGTTTTTAATTCATATTTTTCACATCTTATTTCAAAAAAAGTCGTATAAAACGACATGAAATCAAGAATCCCATCTCAGTATGTTTTGACAATGATTTTTTTGAGATTTGGTAACCCCAAATCCAATAATTAAGTAATGCAGTTTGATTTTATTGCATAATCTATGGTTTCTGAAAGTACACGCAATTGATTTCTGAATAGATTATATATGCCAGCCTCCAACCTTGACTAGGCTGAAAACAAGACGGATCATTTCAAAGTTCAAAGGTCAAACCACGATTTCGAAATTCTAAAAAGTAGACCTGGAAGAAGCTGCATGTGTAGTGACAGACGAAAGATATTGACTGGTTGGAGATGGTCAATCTCCAAGGAGATGAATAAGGAGAACAGAGAAATTGAAGAAGGATTTTTTTCTTTATTGGAGGCCTGTAATTACAATTACAATGAATTATATCACTATCAAAACTAACTTCAATTATCTATAATTGAATACAGGTAATCTATTTGAGCTATGACTAACAAACTCAACTCACTTCTAACATTTTCCTTCTCTTCGAATTACATGAGACTAAAAGTAGTCTTCCAATGCTTTAGGCTTCTTACTTAGTCTTCAAGGCCGACTTTCCACAAGCCCTTTGACTCTATCATTCTCTTCCCCTTCAAGCACAACCTTGCCCTCATGGTTGAATTGCAGATATAAGCACTTGAACCGCTCCAATGACTCCCATGATGTTTCTTCAAGGGGAAATCCTAACCATTGCACTAAAATCTCAACAATTGATTGAGAATTAACCTTTCGTACCCCGGATATGCTACTACTGCTGTAGGTTCAATCACATGAAATGATAATGTAGTGACTAGAGGTAGATCAAGTACTTGCCCAATGGTTGGATTAGGACACTTCTTTAAGTTGGAAATATGAAAAACCTTACCACCCTTTTAATCACTTCAAATGGCCCTTAATAACGCTTATTGAGCTTAGAATAATGATGCCCTACTAATGATGTTTGTCCATGAGGATGCAATTTTAGGTACACCCAATCGCCAACATTAAACTCCAAGTCTCTCCTGTGCTTATTAGCCTGCACTCTCATGGCTTCCTAAGCTTTATGCAAATTATCCTTTGATGTAGACAAAGCCAAGTCCTTAGGTTGCATAAACGACTCTGCCACTTCACTATTTGATGATCCCAGAACATATGTTGGTAGGGTAGGTGGAGGGCTGCCATAAACAACTTAATATGGGGAAATTTTTATAGAGGAATGGATGGCTGTGTTATAGCAAAGCTCAGCCCATGATAAAAGAGGATGCCATTTAATGGGTTGATGATGAACAAAAGCCCTAAGTATTGCTCAAGACACTTGTTTAAGACCTTAGTCTGCCCATCTGTTTTTGGATGATGGGCACTAGACATTAGCAAGGTAATTCCACTTAATGTGAATAACTCTTGCCAAAAGGAATTTACAAATAGTGGATCTCTATTAGAGATGATAATCTTGGGAAACCCATGCAATTTGCAGACCAAGATGGTGAATATTTCAACAACTTTGATGGTTGTAAAGCCCTTTTTGAGAGCTCTAAAGTGCCCATATATACTCAAACGATCCACTACCACCATAATAGCATAGTAGCCTTGTGAATTAGGCAATCCAGTGATAAAATCCATGCAGAGATCCTCCCAAATAGCAGCTGGGATTGGAAGGGGCTATAATAGACCTATAGGAGAAACAATAGTATACTTTATGCTTTGACACACATGACGGTTAGTGACAAATTCTTTAACATCCTTAGCTATACCATTTCAATAGAAATTAGCAACAACTCTAGATAAATTCTTCTTCACTCCTAGATGACCAGCTAAGGTTGAAGAATGAAGTTCATTTAAGATGGCTTTTTGAGGGAAGATATTGGATTGAGGAGCAATTTATGTTTGAACAACATGCCATGTTTAAATTCCATATGAGGATGGGAAACCATAGAAGAATTCAAGTTAGAAATTATGGATTGATAGAATGGATCAATAGCAACTTTAGTTTTAAGATCAGCTAAGAATGAAAATATAGGTACTGAAATGGCCATAAAATGATAATCTTGCAAAGGTTCTAATATGGTAGCACACATGGTGAGTTGACCATTGTCAGAATCAATAATAGCATCTCTTGAAAGGGCATTAACAACTTTATTGTGTTTTCCTGGGTTATATAGAATTTAAAAGTCAAAACTTATTAACTTCTCCATATACCTTTGTTGATCAGGTGTTTGTATGACTTGTTTGAGCAAATCCCTTAGACTTTGGTGGTCATTATGTATATAAAAATGTGTATTAAGTAGATATTAACGGCATTTCAACACCAACTTTGTTATTGCAAAAAATTCTTTGACATATGTCGAGGATTTTTGTAAGGTAGGAATCATTCTCTTGCTAAAGTATGCAATATGGTGATTTTCTTGTAAAAGGACAATACCAATTCCCATCCCTGAGGCATTGGTTTGAATGACAAAAGGCTTTTTGAAATTTGATAGAGCTAATACAGGAGCTCGGATTAGCAAAGACTTTAATTTTTCAAAAGCACATGTAGCTTTATCTGTCCATAGGAAATTATCCTTCTTTAGTAGATTGGTCAAAGGTGCTGCAATGGAAGCATAATTTGGGACAAATTTTCTATAATATCTAGTGAGACCCAAAAATGATTTCAGTTGCTTCAGTCTTTTAGGTAAAAGCCAATTGAGTATGGCTTCAATTTTGTGAAAATCAGGTTTTACTCCTAAAGCAGTCACTATATGACCTAGATACTCAATTTGATCATTACCAAAACTACATTTGCTTATCTTAGCAAAGAAACAATTAGTATTAAGACAAGTTAAAACCATCTGTAAATGCTCTAAATGATCAGATTCATTTTTGCTGTAAACCAAAATATCATCAAAAAAGACAATCACAAACTTTCTTAGATATGGTTTAAAAAGCGAATTCATGGTTGATTGAAAAGTTGTTGGTGCATTTGTGAGACCAAATGGCATCACAACAAATTTGTAGTGTCCATCGTGTGTCCTAAAAACAGTTTTATGGACATCATTGGGGTTCACACGAATTTGGTGATAACTAGCCCTTAAATCAAGTTTAGAAAACACATCAGCTATTTGGAGTTCATCTAATAACTTATCAACAGCGAGTATTGGGAATTTATCTTTTATTGTAGCTTGGTTTAAAGCCCTATAATCCACACAAAAGCGCCAAGTCACATCCTTTTTCTTAACTAGAAGAATTGCAGATGAATATGAACTCTAACTTGGCCTAATTATACCAGTGCTTATATGGTTGTTAGTATCCTACGATACGCGATATGAATCCTACGATACAATTCGATACGAGTCACTAACGATACGTATTAGGGGGTATATCGCAAACTTTTCGATACGTTGATATGTATCCTACGATATAATACGTACCCTTAAAAATATCGATACAAATCGATACGGCTTTTTTAATTCAGCCCAAAAAAATTTTCGGGTCGGGTTGAAATAAATCGGGTTAGATCTAGGTCACTCGATCCGGTTCACTAAAACCCACCTAAAATTACCCATCACTAATTTTACCCTAGCTAGATTCACTCATGGTGAAGAGAGCAGTTGCACGCACCTTAGTCTCTCGGTCCCCACTCCTCAGCAGTCAGCAATTAAGCTAAAAGTCACCAAGTTCTACACAATTTGTTTAGGTGTACTACTCTTTTTCTCTTTTCATTTCATATTTGAATTGTAATATAATATTATAAAAAACCTTGATTTGTTTGTTTGCTCATTAAGAATATAAAAATTTGATTCATCTTTGTTGATTGTTGAATACAAGTGGAGACAATTAAATAATATAGAGCAATTGCATGCACCATAGCCTCTCGGTCCCCACTCTCAGTAGTCAGTAGTTAAAGTATTAAACCAATTAAGCTAAAAGTCACCCAAGTTCTACACAATTTGTTCAGGTGTACTACTATTTTTCTCTTTTCATTTCATATTTGATTTGTAATATAATATTACAAAAACCTTGATTTGTTTATTTGCTCATTAAGAATATAAAAAAGCGATTCATCTTTGTTGATTGTTGAATACAACTGGAGACAATTAAATAATATAATATTAGAATACTAAGAAATTCCTAGTTGCATTGTTTTATGAATAACAATTTTACAAACCTCTTGTATATGAGTTTTGATTTGTTTTCCTTATGTTATACTTCTTCATTTGGTTTTTTGCAGCCTCTTTTGGTCCATTAGATTAAGACTGAGATTTGAACCATGAGAAATAAGAAGCGAAAATTAGATGATATTACATGGGAGCATTGTAAAAAAGTGAATGAGGAAAGTAGATTGCATCTTACATGTAACTATTGTGGTATACCATATTGGGGTGGTGTAATACGAATGAAAAATCATCTTGCTAGAACCCATATCCAAGTTAAGCCATGTAGTCAAGTTCCCGAAGATGTTAAAATGAAATTTCAAGAGTTGTTGGTAGCAAAGAAAGTTAATAAGGATGATGATGATGATGATGATATGGTTGACATTTTTAAACAGCAAGATGTTAATCCCAATACGGGTAAAATTGACAGTTTTCTTAGTAAGGGAAAAAAAGGAAGTGGTTCTAACTCTAAGCAAAGAACTTTAAATGAAGTTGTGAAGGATAGGGAAAAGGTAATTCAAGATATATGTAGGTGTCTTTATGGCAATGTATTACCATTTAATTTAGTTAAAAGTCCTCTTTTTGTTGACATGTTAAAGTTAGTGGGAGATTATGGAAGGGGATTGAAACCTCCTACTTATCATGAAGCAAGAGTTTCTTATTTGAAGAGAGAGGTTGATCTTGTGGAAGAAAAACTTGGAAAGTATAAAAATGAGTGGAAAAAGAATGGTTGCACATTAATGTCAGATAGGTGGACAGATGGAAAGGGTAGATCACTGACTAACTTTCTTGTCAATAGTCCAAGTGGGACAGTTTTTTTGAAATCTATTGATACCTCCGAATTTATAAAAAATGCTCAAAAAATGTTTGAGTTACTTGATAGTGTTGTGGAGGAGATAGGAGAAGAGCATGTTGTACAAGTGGTAACTGACGGAGCATCCAATTATGTAGCTGCCGGTAGAATGTTAGAAGAGAAAAGGAGAAAGCTATTTTGGTCTCCTTGTGCGGCTCATTGTCTTGACTTGATTCTTGAGGATATTGGAAAGATTGCGGTATTCTATGACACCATTGCAAAAGCCAAGCAAGTCACAAGTTTCATTTATAGGCATACATGGGTGCTTAATTTATATAGAAAATTTTCAAAGGATAAAGAGCTAGCAAGACCGGCAGTAACAAGATTTGCAACATCTTTTCTCACATTGAGTTGCATTATGGATAGTAAACTAGCTCTTAGGTCCATGTTTGCATCAGAAGAATGGGCAAATAGTACACATGCTACTACAGTTAAGGGGAAAAAAGTGGTGGATATTATCTTGAGTGATACAAGATTTTGGAAATCCATCCAATTTGCCTTGAAATGTGTGGATCCACTAGTGGAGGTTTTGAGGCTTGTAGATGGTGATGCGAAACCAGCAATAGGATACATCTATGAAGCCATGAGAAGAGCAAAGAATCAAATTGCAAAGAATTTCAACAATATCAATATAGAGAAATATGGAAGATAATTGACACTCGTTGGGATTTTCAACTTCATAGGCCACTTCATGCAGCGGCATACTACCTTAATCCTAAGTAAGTGTTGATCATTTTTTTTTTTAATCCATATAAAAATTGCTTGAAAATTTGAATTTAGAAATCTAATTTATGTTGATTTTATATATTAGGTACCATTATGATCCAAACTTCAATCCGGACAAAGAAGTTAAAATTGGATTGTACAAGATAATTGAGAAGATGTATCCGGATGTGGAAACAAGAGTTGAAGTTGATGTTCAACTTGACAAGTTTAAAAGAGGAGTAGGATTATTTGGAATGGATATGGCCATAATAATAAGAGACAAAAAACAACCGGGTATGTTTACTTATATGTTTGTTATTTATTTATTTATTTTGGTTATAACTTACTAATGTGTTTGTTATTATTATTATTTTTTAAATAGCTTAATGGTGGGACAACTATGGAGAAGAGTGCAAAGAGTTGCAAACACTTGCCATAAAAGTCTTAAGCCTTACATGTAGTGCCACGGGTTGTGAAAGAAATTGGAGCACCTTTGAACATGTGCATTCTAAAAGAAGGAATTGTTTGGAGCAACAAAGATTGAATGCTCTTGTCTTTGTTAAATATAACCTTTAATTAGAAATGAGGCAAAAGCTTAGGGAGGAGAAAGGAGAGGCATATGATCCAATATGTTTATTAGACATGGAATCCGATGATGAGTGGATTATGGAAAAAGAAGATCCTTGCTTGCCGGATGATAATTCATGGATGGATGTTCAAGAATGCTTCAACATAGATGAAGGTGCTGCTAGCAATGAAAGAGCCAGAGGTATATCTTACTTCGATATTAATCTAGCAATTCTTTTAATAAAAAATTGAATGTACTATGTCTATTGATGGTTTGATGATTTCTTTATAGGACCAAGGAACTTAAATGCTAGCAACAAAAAAGCTAAAGAAAAAGTTGTTGAAGAGGAAGATGTACTGCCCATTTTGTGTGATGAAGACGGAGAAAGTGTAGAGGAAGATGTGTTGCCTATTTTGCATGAAAATAATAACACTAGTGGAGATATAGATATTGACATTGATCTTGGAAATGATATAAATGGTTGAAAAGAAATGATATAGATTCTTAAGTTTGTGATTAATTTTGATTATGTATTACCATAATTTAAAGTTAATAGTATCACAAAATTTGTTAATTAATCATGGGGTTATATTAATTTTTAGAAAAAAAATTATTATTTTATTATTTAAAAAAAATGTGTATCCTACGATACGATTCGACTTGCGATACACGATTCAAAAAATTAGGTTTTCGATACATGATACGATATGCGATTTGACAACCATGTTCTTAACATTTTTGAAACTAGCTTTTCAATCTCAATTAGAATTCAAATCCCTCAACAGCTAGTGTTGCCAGATTGGAAGATGCAGTTGCGACTTTAAGTCATGATTTTGGAGTTCACAATGAATTTCAATATCAGTGGATAATATTGATCCGAATCAGACTCAACATATTGCAGAATTATAGGAAACTCTTCAGGATGTTGCCAAAAGAATGATGACATTTGAAGAGAGATTTAGACTACAAGAACCACCCATTCATCCTTAGGAGCATCAATTTTAGAATCTGATTCATGTACAAGAGACCTAACCACAGATGCAATCAATCAGGGTGGAGGTTCCAAGATTCAATAGGGAAAGTGCTTCAGGATGGTTGATGAAAATTCAGAACTTCTCTGTCTTTAACCACACTCTAGTACATCAAAGATTGTCTATTGCTTCTTTTCATTTAGAAGAAAAGGCATTAGAGCATTATTAGTGGTTGCATAAAAATCATCTACTGAGGGATTGACAAGATTTTATGATGTAAATTGAGCACAGATTTGGGGATTCTCAATATGAAGATGCTTTTGGCAAATTGACCAAGCTAACATAGACTGGGACAGTAGAGGAATATTGTAGTCAGTTTGAGAAGCTAGCTATAAAAACGGAAGGTGTATTAGAAAGAGCCTTGATTAGTTGCTAGGTGCTTGGATTGAAAACACACATAAAGACTGAGGTACAGATCCAAGTTCCTTATTCCTTGGTCCAAGTTATGCATTTGCCTAAGATGCAAGAGAAGAAGTTTGAAGAACAGAGAGTGGCGTACAAATCTTGGAATAAGAAATCTTAGTTTAAATGAGTAATACTTTTGGGAATAGAAATTTTCCATCAAGGTAACCCCTATTGATGCTTCAAAAACCTTTTATTTTCTTATCAAGAGACTAACTCCAAGTGAGATTTTAGTCAAAAGAGAAAAAGGGCTTTGCTATAATTGTGATGAAAAATCTCACAAGGGTCATAGATGCAAGGGTACTTAGAGTGTTTTTGCTGTTATTAACTAATGAGGAAGATAAAGATTCTGTGCCTATGGAGGAAGAAATCACTGCCGGGGTATTAGCCATTATAGAGGAGGTTATTGATATTCCAGCCATTAGTCTACATGCATTGGCTGGTCAACACTGTCCAAGAACACTAAGAATGATTGGGGTTATACAGGGCATGGATGTACAAGTCTTGATCGATGGTGGAAGTACTCATAACTTCATCAAGAAAGGGTGGCAAGGTACTTGAATATTCCTATAGTGCTTTCTAAGCACTTCAAGATACTGAGTGGTAATGGCGATACATTGGAGTGTGAAGGTTATTGTTCTCAACTGCCACTAAAGTTAACTGATCAACAATTCCTAGTTGACTTCTATGTTCTGAATTTGGGAGGTGCATGTACTATTTTGGGAGTCCAATGGCTCGAGCTCTTGGAAGAGTCATCATGGACTACAAGGAACTACATGGAGTTTCAATGGCATGGAAAGACTGTGAAGTTACAAGGAGAACCCCTGCTGCAATGCTAACCTAGATGTCCTAGTTGAGAAAGCTAACCGAGAATGATAATGTTGCAAGCTATTTTCATCTTGGTGCTTTACCTCATCCAATTTAAGAAACCAATGTAAGTACTCTTAATAATGATCTTTCTTATCTCTTGGATGATTTTGTTGTGGCTTTTTCGGAATCAAAAGAATTACCATAATTTAGAGAAATTGACCATCACGTACACTTAGCACTAGCAACTAAACCCATTAATGTGAAACCATATCGTTACCATTACTTTTAGAAAACTAAGATTGAAAAGCTAGTTTTAGAAATGTAAGCACATGTATAATTAGGCTGAGTCAGAGTTCATATTCATCTCTAGTTCTTCTAGTTAAGAAAAAAAAAAAAAAATAGAAAATTTAAAAAGAAAAAAAGGAATTTAAAAAAAAAAAAAAAAAAAAAAAAATACCAAAAAAAAAAAATAAAAAAATAATAAAAAAAAAACAAAAAAATAAAAAAATTTAAAAAAATAAATTAAAGGCTGGTTATCACCAAATTTGTGTGAACCCCAATGATGTCCATAAAATTGCTTTTAGGACACACAATGGACTCTACAAGTTTGTTGTGATGCCATGTGGTCTTACAAATGCACTAGCAGCTTTTCAATCAACCATGAATTTGCTTTTTAAACCATATCTAAGAAAGTTTGTGATTGTCTTTTTTGATGACATTTTGGTTTAGAGCAAAAATGAATTTGATCATTTAGAACATTTATAGGTGGTTTTAACTTGTTTTAAAAACAATTCTTTCTTTAGCAAATGCAGGTGGTTTTAACTTGTTTTAAAAACAATTTCCTGTGATTGAACCTACAACAGTAGTAGCATCCCGGGTATTAAAGGTTAATTCTTAATCAATTGTTGAGATTTTAGTGCAATGATTAGGATTGTCACTTGAAGAAACATCATGGGAGTCATTGGAGCAGTTCAAGCGCTTATATCTGTAATTCAACCTTGAGGGTAAGGTTGTACTTGAAGGAGAAGAGAATGATAGAGTCAAAGGACTTGTGGAAAGTTGGCCCAGAACTAGAAGACTAAGTAAGAAGCCCAAAGCATTAGGAGACTACGTGTAGTCTCATGTTATTTGAAGAGAAAGAAAACGTTAGAAGTGAGTTGAGTTTGTTAGCCATAGCTCAAACAGATTACCTGTATTCGGTTATAGATAATTGAAGTTAGTTTTCGATAGGGATATAATTCACTGTAATTGTAATTACAAGCATCCAATAAAGAAAAAACTAGTTTCTTCTTCAATTTCTCTCTTCTCTTTATTCATCTTCTTAGAGATTGACTATCTCGAACTAAGTCAATATCTTTCATCTATCAATTTGAATGTTAGGATCTCACATCGAGATTTCACACCCACCAAGTGTGGTACTTAAGCCTAAGGGCTCTCTTACCCATTAGACTAGTCTTTTGGGTTAGACTTTCACCCTTAGGCTTGAGTTCTAACATTGGTGCTTTTATTCAAAGTTAGGCTACGAAAAAGGCTACTTATTGGCTAGATTATGGTGTAGTGTGCTCTCCTTAGGATTGGGTGCTGCATCGAATGATTGATAGCTAAGTGAAGCCACCCAAAGGGAAAAAAGACTACCGTCGGGTTAGTGTCGATAGAGTGAAAGTCGTTGTGGACATTGACTCTTGAAGGGGGTGCAATTTAGGATCCCACATCGGTATCTCACACCCACCAAATGTGGTACTTAAGCCTAAGGGCTCTCCCACTTATCAGGTCGGTCTTTTGGGTTGGACTTTCTCTTGGGCTTGAGTTCTAACATTAGTGTTTTTCATTAAGAGTTGAGCCGCGGAAAGGGCTACCTATAGGCTATATTAAGGTGCAGTGTGCTCTCTTTGGGAGGAGGCGTTGCATCGAATAACTGATAGGTGAATGACGCCACCCAAAGGGAAAAAGGGCTACCGTCAGGTCATAGTCGATAGAGTGAAAGTCGTAGTAGATGTCGGCTTTTGAAGAGAGTGCAATGTTAGGATCCCACATCGGGATCTCACACCCACCAAGTGTAGTACTTAAGCATAGGGGCTCTCCCAACTATCAGGCCGGTCTTTTGGATTAGGCTCTCCCTTGGGCTTGAGTTCTAAC